CCCACATCAACTGGCTGTCTTCATGTGCCTGTTGCCAACTTGACGAAAATTGAATTTCGAAACATGCTGGCTAAAAGAAAATGTACAAAAAACAACCAGCAGAAATACAAGAATGAAAAAAAAACCACAGCACACACACAGACACACACCCTGGGCTGCCAAAATGAAACGAAACAAAACCCAGGCAAATAGAGCAACATTTCAGCGGCAAAAACGGCAACAACAACCATGACAATGACAGCGTAAAGCCGGCAAATGCAACAACAGCAGCTAACAGAAAAAAATAAGAAGAAAAACAAGAAAAGCATAGAAAAATATACAAACGCCAGCAAAATGGCGGCTGTTAAAATGCGAAAAACGCGTCGAAAACTGTTTGAACAACAAGGAAGATGCTGCTGTTGCTGTTGCTGTTGCTGCTGTTGCTGCTGTTGCTGCTGTTGCTGCTGTTGCTGCTGCTGCTGCTGTTGCTGCTGCTGCTCTTGCTGCTGCTGCTCTTGCTGCTGCTCTTGCTGCTGCTATGGCAAAGGAATCGAGCGAACGCACAGCAGCCAGGACATCAGGACACCAGCAACAACAACTGTATTTAGTGCCGCCATCATCACTAGCATGTATGCGTGCGTGTGTGAGCTGCGCTAAGTGCCTTTGCTAGGACTTCCTACCTCCCCACCGCCATTACTTATTCCCCGCCATCGCCCTTTATTGTCCTTGTTTGCCTGTTATGTTTTTAGCTTTACGTAAATTGCGTAAATTGTGTGCATTTTATTACGCTACACTTCATGCTGTCACGCCCCCAATTCCAGGAAGCTTTCCCTCTTTCCTCCCCCCCTCACACATCACCTCTTTTCTGGATTTTTTTGAAGAAGCAAACATTTTGCCAAGTTTTCTTTTTTTTGGTTGTTGCCGCCGCCTGTCAGCACAGGGAAAATGTCTTCGTCACTTTTATTAGGTGAGAACTGTGCGTGAAAGTTTGCCATGTGTGTGTTTTGGATACAGTGAAAATTGTTGTAAATGTAACACGAAAGTAAGCGAAACATACAAGAATCCCTGGCAGGTAATAAAGAAAACTTTTACATCATAAATCCTAATGGTTTGCTGAGTTCAAAGGGAATTTCTAAAGATACTCTATTTAAAGAAGAAAATTTTTGGCAAAGGATATATTTTAAATATATTTATAAACAAATTTTCAGTTTTTAAAATAGTTAAATTTAATATTCTTCAAGGTCCCTGCTTTGGCAAAGAACCCCTTGGCCTTCATACCTTGATTGCCTGTTTTTGGGACATTTTTAGGCCTCCAATTTTGACCCATTTCAAAGGAAATTAATGTAAATTTATTGTCCATCTATCAGTCAAAGCAGTCAGTCAGCAGCAAACATTGGCCCTTCCCCCTGTCACTCACTCTTACCTTTAATAACACATATATTCCCTTTTGCTTTTGGGCTAATTGTTACGCCTGACGGCATCGCGTGACCAAAAAAACTGAACGCTAAACGACAAAGATAAACACGAGAAGAAATAAAAATCCACGAAAAAGCAAGAAATGAAAACAGTCGGCACGTAAAACAAAAATACGAAAACCAAAAACCAAAATCAAATCGCAGGGCGCCAAGAAACTTCCACGCGACGACGTTCAAGTTCATTGCCATTTAGGCCAAAATTGGCGCACGCGGAACTTGTCTTTAGGCACCAAGGAAGCCGAGAAATACAAAAAAAAACACCCAAAAACAAGAGCAAAAAAATTAAACACACACAGGCAAAACGAAAACTGAAAACCAAAAACCGAAATAATCCAAATACAAGGCAAACTCTTGGCTATTTTTGGGAACGCACGTAGCATTTCGGTTGGTGAAAATTGAGGCATTAAATTGCAGTCGATCGTCGGACAAGGGATCCCGGCACGTTTCCCCGGTACAAATCCCCCACTAAGCCCCTTCCCCTTTGCGAGAAGGCATTTAACGCATTCGGTTGCAATTAATTTTTGCCTCTTTCTGGTCTCTAGGCGAGTGTGAACATTTTTGGTTGCCTGCCAACCACGAAATTTTGATCGCTGTCGGGTTGAAAAAATCAACAAAATCGGATTCTTTCATATGAAAATCCCCGCATTCCATATGATCAAGTGGTTGCAAATGAGATTTTTCTCTGGCTCTTGGGTAAAACAAGAAAAATATGCACTTAAAATGCAGTTGGAATTGCATTTAACACATTTTCAACGGTCCCATTTCCCTACCCAGGGGAGAGAGGGTATAAGGCTATAAGAGCAGTGTTACTTTTGATTTATTTGCATGACAAACGGGTTAATTACAGCATGTTGCGGCAGCAACAGCAGCAGCAACACCAACAGCAACACCAACAACACCAACAGCAACACCAACAGCTACACCAACAGCAGCAGGCTAGCAAAAACAGGATTTCTTTTTTTTCCTGCTGTTTCAGAGGCACACACAATTGTTGCATGCCGGTTACCCGATGATGCAACAACAAGCTTGGACATTGTGGGCGTTGGAAGCGGCGCCAGTAGGATTCCCTTTAGCAAAAAGTGTGTAAAAAGACGAGTACAGTACATGTTTCGGCAATTGACAAGCTTGTCCCTGGCTCGTAAGCGGAGTTTTGATGCCCCACCAGGCGGCAGGAAGAGGTGCAACGTCATTTATTACACCCATCGAGCCAACCAGAGGCTCTCTTTTGTTATTTGATTGAGCTTGAGGCTGGCATTGAGTGTCCATAATGGAATTTTTATTTATTAAATGCAAGAGTCTCTCTCTGTGTGTGCGTTGTGTAATTTATCACAGCCTGGCCAGCCAGAAAGGAATTTTCTGCGGGATTTAATGCCATCACAATGGGTGTGAAGCGGATGGGGGAAAAAAAAGCTGCAAGCCAACGGGCACTGTGTGGAGTGTGGCAATGCATAACGCATTAACAAACGGCTTTCAGCTGCATATTGGCTTTTGTGATTAACGCACACACACATATAGGCTTTGAGCGGACAAAAACATTGATACCCTTGTTGCTGGACCAGGCCATCGATAGCTGGCCATTAACCCATGGCAACAAATAGTGGTGAATTTATATCAAAGAAGCTTTACAACGTTCCTTCAACTGGGGATAAATGAAAGACAGAGGCAAAGTTATTTAAAGGCATTTAAAAATTAAAGAGAAAACACCTTATAAGGTTGAAAAGTAATCCAGTTCTTGAAAATATTTTTAAATTATTTTAGGAACTATAGTTTCTGTTACTAGAAATAAACAAGGACATGCAGAAAAGATATTTATAGGGATTAGAGATTCAAAAGAACTTTCTGAAAGGTTCTTAAAAGGCCTTTGAAAAAATAATAAATAACATAGAACGAAGCTAACTAAGTTTCTGCTACTGAAAATCCTTACTTAAATGTAAATGCTTTAAAAAAAGGCCTGAAAAATATTATAAAATCTATATATGATATCTCAATATTTCCTGTTATAAACTATAAAGTAAAAAATCCACGTTAATGGGTTAACTGCTGGTCCTTTTTTTAAAATATTTTTACGTCTGTTAAATGCCACAAATTGTTTAATGCATCGGCTTGCACTCTGCTCTGCTCTGCCCTACCCGTGCACTCCTCAACCGAGGGCTTTCCAGCGTGGAAACCACTGAACGATTTATGCAAATGCAACCAATGCACTTAGCGCCGTTAAATAAACAAAAGCATTATCAGCACCAGCAGCAGGCAGCACCAGGCAGCAGCAGACACAGAAATGCAAGACAATGCATTAAATTCCCTTTTGCGATGGCAACACAGCCAACACACACATCAAAAATTCACTATGCAACTTATCTAAATGCACTAAATTACACATTAAGCAAGTATCTTAAATCAAGACCTGCACACAGGCACATAATCTAAGAGCATAAACAACAAGAACAAACGATGATGCTCAGTCTCCTTGGAAAATGTAAATTTTACAAGAAGGGGGAAGCTGGAAGCTGGAAGCTCTCTGTTCTGGCAAATTGAGTTGGCATGGTCAGGGACCTAGCTGCTTAATTTGCGTGCGAGCTTATATATATTTTTTGTGTTTGTTTGTGCTCCAAGGCAACTGGCACTGGCACACTGGTTGCCCTGCATCGATTATGTAAATGCGAGAATTTCCATTAAATGCATTGAATTCCATTACGAACGCATCATCATCATCATCATCATGATTATGGAAGCTGGGAAGACTGCCCCCGATTCGTAGAGATCTCAGCTCTGGGCGCCCATTGTCTTGCGGTTTGCGAATTTATAGCTCAGCGAACTGCCGTTCCCCACAATGAAGTCATTTTCCAATGGAATGTGTGTTCCGACGGACAAGTGAAAATGCCCGTTTGTGTTCAGTTCGACCTAAGTTCCCTCCTCCATTCCCCGAATATCGTAAATCGCTTACTGGCCACGCTGCGCGTCTGTTTCTCGAAGGTATTTTCATTAGCCAAACACAAATTGAGGCAACACGACACTGCTCGACGACGACACACAAAACTGAAAACTGAAAACTGAAAACCGAAACGAAAGAAAAACACTTAACATCAACATGATAGAGAGACATACATAGCTCTAGCCAAGGCTAAGCGGGAGTTGGTGGAAAAACCAACAGAAAAACTACTGTTTACACACATCTCTGGAGCTGCCATGCCATAGATTTTTTGTACCTCGTTTCAACCTTTTCCAATGTTGGCCAATGTCCAAACAGAAGCTCTACGGGCCTTACGGCTATTTATTGTTGCTTTTGCTGGCATAATTTGCGTACTGTGGGGCGCCCACTGGGGCCATAATGAGCGGCGGGCCTTTTTGGTCTGCCACATCTCTGGGGAGGATGTGTGAAAATTTTCATTTCGACCAACAGCAGCAGCAGGTGCAGCAGCAGCATCTGCATCAGGCCACAAATGTGCATTCGAATGGAGATCTTTTGTTTGCCAGCTGGCTTTCACTGTATTTGTCTACGCATTTCACACGTCGAGTGGTGAAAATCTCTCTCTCTAACTCTGGCTTTGCCTATAAACTCATAAAAACCAAACCGAACGAATATCGAAGGTTGAAAATCGAAATTATAACCTTGGAAACCCCCTGAAAAGCCTTTAAAAAAAATGTCACAAGATAGTTTCGATTGCAATACGGAGTCCGAGCGGCCCAGGAAGACCTTGGTTTTAACCATCTTCGCCCTGGCCGTCATCATGAAACTGTGCATCATTCTGGTGGAGATCCTGGATTTTGGAAATTACCTGAAACAAAGTGGAGAAAAGAAGAGTACCAATTAGTTGATGTTTCATTAGAATTCTCTTTTCTTTTATGTGTTAAGATACGTGTAAACAAAGAAGTGATAAAGCCGATAGATTGGCATCCAAATGGAAGGCACTTTAAAGATCTATGAGTATGCATTTTCCTTCACAGGTCTCAAATTACAAACAGAGGGCGAGTTCCTTGTGTCCTACCTTCGCTTTTGTGTGTATTCAATTACAGGGGGAAAAAAAAAGGTTTCCCTTATTAGCCTTTGTCCTCATCAGCATTTGACTTTTCCCATTTCCATTTTCCCCTTTGCAAAAGCAAACAAAACCGCAAGGGTAGAACATAATTTCTGTTGCTGTTTGGAACAGTGAAAATAATTTGACAACTTACTTAAAAATATGTCACATGAAGAAGGTCAGGCAGCCGGAAAAAAAGGGTTTTTGCAAAACGAGCCTCAAGCTCGAGTTGGGGGAAAATCAAAATGAAAATCCTGTAGAGAGAGAGCAACTTTTATTAAAAGCTGTCAGCGCGACAAAACCCAAAAAAAAAACATATTGTGGCATAGGCAGGGGTCTCTCAAAGTTAAAACGTCATCGTGGCTTCATTACGAATTCTTGGAATGCTTCTCACCTTTCAGCCGCAAAGTAAAAGAAAAAATAATAATAAATAAAAAAAGGAGCCCCGAAAAAAAGTTTATTCCTTTGCTTGTCCTTTGATCAAGTTCCATGCGAGGAGTCGCAATACATTTTCACCTGTCTGGCCACCAGTCACAGTCGCGTCGCTCTTTGATGTTTTGCCAGCGAAAAAGGACTCCAAGGATAAGCCGCGAAAGAGCGCATCAGGCATGCATAAAGCGATGGCCCAAATTAACTCAATTGACAAACTTGGCTGCCAAGTTTCAGGACACCCGCCGGAAAAGGGTTGCCTAACTCAGTTAGAAGGGGAAAATCGGGGACATCCTTGATACGGATATGGCCAGCACACAGTCACCCTAATTAGAATCGATTTGCCTCAAGGGAGAGAGAGAGAGATCCTTCTTCTCCTCCTGTGCTAACAAAAAAAAAAAAAACAATTAACAATTTTAGGCACTCAATAAAATATTTAAATGCCAAACCCTTTCTTTCCCGCTTTCCCCGCTTTCCTTTTTAACTCTTGTGTTATTTTTGAAGTGGAAAGGCACCCAGAGCGAAGGCAAACAATGATAAATTACAAATGAAATTGTAAAAAGGCGCAACAGCCAAAAGAAATGAAGAACAAAGCAAGGACCGAGAACGGAAAGTGGAATAGCAGAAGAAGGAGGAGAAGAACACGCCAAGCAATTAACGCCGACAGAAAGTGCCACGCCTCCATTCCATTTGGCCATGTCGAGACTCAATGATTACTTTCGCCTTTGATTAATTTCAGCTCATCGATATTCCTGCGATGTGCAACGCTGGGTGGCAACCCTTTTTAACCCCCTTCCTCCTCCACCCCCCCCTGTTATCCACCGGCCAGCGGGCCTAATTGCTTGCCTAATTTAATTGCCACGAATGTAATTTGCGCCGGCCAACTGACAACTGTGACAATTGGACGACAGCCCCCATAAAAGTCAGGCACTTTCTGACCCGACTTTTGGTCCTGCTCGTCCTTTCCTTTTTTTTCGCCCTCTACCAGGGTTGCAACGCTCTCTAATCAGTGCATTTGATTAATGGAAACTTAGAGACTCCTCTCATCCGGTTCTACCTTTTCTTTTTTGTTCGGTTGCAGGATATTCGAGTGGAGAGAGGAGGTGAGGTGTGTCCAACACCTCGGAGCAAAACCACAAAGTCATTTCCGCACTTTTCGGCCAGCATCATTAATTACAAAAACCAATAAAAGTGTTGCCCGACCGACCATTTAGGCCAAAATAAGTTGTCATCATTAGTAACAGTTACAAGTTGGTCAGAAGAATGTCAAGAATATACAAAAAGGGAAGTTGGAAAGGGAGATGGTCAGGAATATTATACTCTGCATCGAAGAAAAATTACTAAACATTTAATATCTCTTGTAAAGGGGTCTAAAAATGTACAATAAAATGTTTTTGTAAGCATAACTTCTCAAAAAAAAAACCCCAGTAATATCTTCAAGCTATAAGAATGTGATAGAAAAGGTATTCAAGTCTCTTAAAGACCTTAATCCCTTAGCTGATGTTTACTTTAAATCCTAACCCCATATACCCTTCACAAAAATACTCCAGGATAACCCAAATGAAAAACAGGAAACTGCCAAAGACAAGGGAGCCTGCTACATTTTTCCCCCCCGTTTACTTGCAAACAAATTGCCAGCAATTGATGAATGTCTGGTAATGAGACGCGCTCTCCTCAGACATTTTACCAAATAAAATACAAACCAAAAAGAAAAAAAATAACTTAAGCTAAACGCAACTAAAACTCTGTCAAAAGAGTGGAGCAGTCAGAGGGAAAACCCGAGGGAGAGAGAGCTAGGCGCCAGTCTTTTGGCAGAAAGAAAATGGTCTTTTGTACAGGGGCCTATAAATAAATAGGCTTTCCACACACACACAGAGACATAGCAGAAAGCAATCTGTGTAAAAGTAACGTAGTCATTAATCATTATCATATAAACATCAATTGGTGTTTAGAGTGTTCCATAGTCGGGGCTCGGCATTTTCCGGGGGCTGCCATGTCTTGCCCAATGTTATTGATTGGCCATTCGGTTTGCTATCGAAGTCGTTGCCTGTCTCAAGGAGTGCAGACAGCCGATTCAGCCAAAAAAAGGAAAAATCGAAAAAGAAATCGAAATGAAATTTACCGTAAATAAAAACATACAAAAAAAAATAAAATTAAAGGAGAGGGGAAGGAAAACGATTGGCTGGAACGAATGTAAGTAGAATGAAAAATTTCATTTATAACTGTAGAGATATATAAGATGTTTCTTTGGGAACACCAGAAATAAAATTAAGTTTTATATATTTCCAGAAAATATTTATTTTTGTACATTTATTTTGTGATAACCAGTAGATTTCTTTAGGGGTTTCCATACCAAATATCTTACAAGATTAACATTTTTTCAACTAGAAATTCTTTAAGTACGAAATATCTATAGCATATTTCATATGTTATATCTTTTCTTTCTCTGTACCAACTTCCACTTCCTTCAATTGGCCCCGATAGAAAAAAGCACCAAAAATGTTTTGGGCAGCAACAGAGCTATGAGTTTCTTCAAAGGTTTCTTGTTTTGGCTCGATTCAATGCATTAAGGCGAAATCATCTTAGCTGAAATCAAATAAAAGAGACCGACACACACACTCATATACACACCGGCAAAAAAAAAATGAAGAAAGGAGACAAACTATGCCAGAGACGAAGATATAAATCAACAGAAATAAGACAAATTTTCGGAAGCAACTTGGCCAGAGTCTCTTCAGCTCTGGCACCTAATCAAAGGAGCGGAGACACAAAATTACATGTAATCAATTTGTCATAATAATGTGTGTGTATATCTGTGTGTGTGCCTAAGGATGTGTCTTTTGGCTGAGTCATTTAGTGACAGTTAACCTTGAACCCCCAGAAAAGGAAAACACATCCCCTTTTTAAATGAGGCGCAAATCTTTAGCACTCCTCCCCGGGCTTTGGCACATTTATCATCTCCCCCACATATGTGTGTGCCTCATTAATATTTCATATTTATTTCAAGTTTATGCATTTTTTATTCAGAACTCGATAAAGAGAGTCAAGAAATGAACTTATCTCGACTGAAAGTATAAAAAAAGAAATAAAAAATTCCCTTCTTAATGCTTTCATCGCTTTTGAAGTCAAGAATACAAGTGTATATCAGGAAAGTATTCTGTATTTTGTTGTTCAGGCCTCTCTTTTTTTATCAGCAGTAAGAAAATTCCTTTCTGACGAGCCATCAATCATTATCATTGGTGAGGCCTCCCTCCATTCATCCTGTTTTGGGTTCTATCTCCGCCTGACTCAGACCTCTTACATATATTTAATTTCTTTTCAATTCGCCCGGTTTTTCTTATTTTCCCCACTCTCTCTCTCTCTCTCTCTCTCTATGATTAGGCCACTTGATAAATTGCCTTTGTTGGGATCAATCCATCGGACTAGTCGATATTTTATTTGGCTTATTAATTTTTGTATATATTTCGGGTCTGGTGACCGACCAACGACCACAGATTTCAATTACAAAATGTCACGGACAGTCGGTCGGCTTAATAGAATTTCTACTTTAAAGGCAAGTCTAGAGTGCTCAGGGTGCTTTCTCTTTTCATTTTCCTCTAGATTTTCCTCTCTCTTCAGCTCTTCCATCCATCCCCAAGCATTTTCAATTTGTTTAATGCAATTGGGGGAACTTTCCATCTGAAAAAAGCGCGTCAATTGATGCACTTAGGCGCTAAGATCCCTAACACAAAAGGTTCTCGGGAAGAGGGGGGTAGAACATGAAGGGGGGTGTTTACTTGCACAGTGGGGTGTGTAAATTGATTTCATTTTTATATTTTTTTTTTGGGCTTGCCATCGCAACTCATCATCATCAGCAGACAGTGTGAAATATAGCTCAGAAGGCGATATGCCGGGGGCTAAGCCCAGACATTGGATCAAGGGGTGCCACTGTTCCGGCTGTTTCTCTCCAAAGTGCATTCCCAGGCTTACAACCCTACCCATTCCCATTCCCATACCCCATATTTCCATTCCCATTCCCAAGTGGAGTGGCGAACGCATTCTTTCGTGATGTTATATGAGCTGAAAACTGTTTGAATGGATGATTAACATATATGGATGGGGCCTGTTTCGGGGGTTTTCCTTTAGTCTTGTATTTATTTTGTTTTTTATTTCGGAGGCCAAAGCGAAACAAAATAAATTCGTTTGTTATTGTCGTTTGTTCGAAATGATACGATGCATATGAGGCACGACAGTCGTATAACAAAGGGTTTGCCTGATTCAACAACAGCTCCTCTGAATCACGCCTTATCTGCCCCGCAGGAAGCGTTCTTCAGTACTCGAACCCTTAACCCATGGCCGCCGGCCAGCATCGAATTTTAGCACCCAATGCGAAATGCTTCGACACGCCCCTATCATCGCACCAACATCAAAACACCATTCAAACACAAACTATACACGGAAAACAATGATATCAATAATCA